TAGCAGAGCTTAAAATCCAGCATAATTTATCCAAGGGATGTCTGCGTTTGGAAGAAGAATGTTTTCAAGATGACTTGGATAATAGCGCGTTGTGACAAACACCAGATACAGCACTGGGACTTGATCAACAGCCGATACCGCACCGTGACGTCACTGCTGGAAGATGGCAGGAGGGAGGGGTTACTATATTTGGGCAAAAATGGCTGCTCCCAGACTAACTGAAAAGTATTGTTTTTATTTTTTTACTGATTAACACTAAATTGATCAGCAAATATCACCGTGAACGTATTAGTTTTAGGTATTGATAATGAGCCATTGATTATTTGATCCTTGCTGACCGGACTTTTCCATTAAATCGGATCAGCCAGCCCAGGTATCAGTTTCAGATTGCATCTGGAAAAAACGGGATTGGTGCATCTCTAGTGCAAAGTATATCCGATGACAAGATTAACTGTTTACTGTTTGTTCACTCGTCTGTTGAAATGGCAAGAATGAGCTCAGCAGATGCAGCCTAACAACTTTAAAACAACAAAGCTTGTGTACAAACAAGAACACACACTTTAATATCAGTGGTAAGCATTTTTGATCAAAATAAAAAAATGTTTTTATTAAATTAAGTTATGAAGGGTACACTAACCTAAAACTTTTTTTGTAAAACATTGATGCGTCTCACTAAAGAGGAAAGGAAAAGAGTATTATAATCCAGATTGTCTCTAATTCAAAATTATCTCCAATAAACCAAAGTCAAGGTATGCATCATCATCATCATCATCATCATCATCATCATCATCATCATCACACCTCTGTATTGTAACCCAGCACCAGAGACTTCTCCCTCGGTTCCAGGGAACACGGAGCCTCCACCTATCGGAGGCTGCGGCCTCCTCTCTGATCTCTCGGTGGCCGCGCGCATTGGACGCTCTGCGCGTCAGTCGCGTGGAGTGGGAGGAGCTGGGCGGAGGGGGTTGGAGGGAGGAGTGGCGCCTGAAAGGCGGCGCGTCTGTCTGTCAGTTGTGTTGCCGTCCTCGTCAAAAGTCGGCTGTTGTTTCTGAGGCTGAGATCAGGCTGACCCTGCGGCTGCAAACAGTCCGCAGAGACGCACCGCCGGCTCGGTCCTACCGGCTCCCGCGGCACCGCGGCTGCGGTCCTCTCCACACTCTGACACCGCCGCGTTCCGGGCACAGAGCGGCGCGGCTCCGGGTAGCCCTGGTAACCCGGTAGAAGACGCTGGATTCGAAGATTTGCTTTTCCTGGCTGTCACAGATGCTCGCCTGGAGCGCGCAAAGGAGGCTTTACGCGTCTGAATGAGCTGTTCCAGGGAGCCAGGCTGGGCTGGAGACTGCGCGACTTGTTGCGCTTCTTCCGGGCTGCGCCTCCATCCCAGGTCCGAACCTGCATGTGATGCTCGGGTTGGAGGGGAGTAGGATGTGCCGTGGAGCGCGCGCACAAACAGCCTAAAGTCACGTTTCTCCGGAACTATGAAGTCCGCCACATAAATACGCAGAGTTTGGAGAACAGTTTGCGCCCCGCTTTATAATGGCACCACTCCACCACAATAGCAAACTTTATTCAGGTCCAATCCCGTAAAGTGCTGAAATTCCTCCGAACTGAGCCTCCTTCCTTCTGACTGCTGACATGTCTGAGCGCGATGGATGCGGAGACGGGCTGTGCGGAGACTCCGCGCCGGATTTCATCCCGCCGAGAGCGTCCCGCGGCCGGCGCAGCGGGGTCATCCTCCCTGGAGGTGGAGGCGGTCAGGACTCGGACACCATCCTGCTGGAGTCGGTGAAGGCAGCACCGCGCCGCAGCAGCATCATTAAGGTACCCAAACAGTCTCCTTCTCTCACAGCTGCTTTGGAAAACCATGAGCTTCATTTTTAATAAGGAGAACAGGAGTGGAGAAAGCGGAGACACTTCATCCATGCGGACGCGCTTCCTTTTAGGAGACGCTTTGCTTGAGGTGAACTTTATAGGTCAGGGATGCCCAAAATCGGTCCTGGATGGCCGCTGTCCTGCAGGTTTTAAAGGTTTCCCTGCTTTAGCACAGCTGAGGCTTTTCCTGAAATGCAAACATCAGAATCAGCTGTGCTGGAGCAGGGAAACCTCTAAAGTCTGCAGGACAGCGGCCCTTAGGAACCCGCCTGCCTGTTATAGGTCAAATGGCCAGTTCAAATGACCTCCATCATCACTTTGATTTTCTTGTCTAATTAGTGTCAAAGCAGTCAGACCAGATTCTTGGTTAATTGCTGAGCCAAGAAAGATGTAGGCATAACTTAAGGTTTGTCTGAGGCAGGCATCCCCAAAGTCAGCTGTCCTGCAGGTTTTGGGTGTCAAACAGGGTCCAGAAAGGGCTGCAGGTTTTCTTTCCAACCAAGCATTAGCACACCAGACTCCTCATCTCATCAAGTCATCATGTTCAGACTGGACTCCCTCAATGATCAAGGTTGGTTGGAAAGAAAACCTGCAGCCAGACAGCCCTTTCTGGAACCACTTTGACACCCATGTTTTTAAGGTTTCCCTGCTTCAGCACAGCTGATTCTGATGTTTGCATTTCAGGAAAAGCCTGTTAATCAACTATCAATGTAAAGCTGTGCTGGAGCAGGGAAACCTCTAAAACCTGCAGGATCCTCGAGGACCCACTTTGGGGATGCCTGGTCTGAAGGGTTTCTGTCTTTATTTAGGGCTGGAACTCATTCCGAAAGTTTAAAAACATCAGCTCAGATCTGACATTAAAAGTCACCTGTCCTTTGCTTTGCCTGGAGGAGACCCTGAGCTGCTCTCTGACTGTCTGACATCAGTGTCATCACCTGTGCTCAGGTTGCATGTCACCGGGGCCCCGTGCACAGGAGCGGATCATGTTTAGCAGTTCTTTACCTTTCATGTCTGACATGTGCGCTCCATAGAAGTCTCTCCACCTCAGGCGACGTGTCTCATGTGTCACTGAAGCGCTGGAATGTTACATGTATGCATGTAACTGATATCTGCTGCTTTGTACCTGAGCTGGATCAGAGGTGCCGTCTGTAGAGAGCTGGACTCTGGAAATGAGACGTATTTGCTTTACTTTCAATCCTTCAGGTAAGGAAGGAACGTTAGACTGACATGATCAAGATTCACTTTTAAAAATGTCTTTACGTGTCAAAAAACAGGAAAAGACAATTTAATAAATTCTGGTTCTTTCACCTGTAAGAACATTTTAGACTTCTGGAAAAAAACAATACATGATTTAAAGCAGTTTAAAAATGTGTGGCTCGCATTAACACTTAGCAGAACTAGCTTTTATTCCTATAGTTACTAGAGATTGAGTAATAAAGGGTTTTTATGCCTGATGCTCATTTTCTGACATCATTATGGGGTGATTCTCAAAGCTGATTTATCTTTTTCTGATGCAAATACAAAGAACCCCAAATATCGTCCATCAGGTCTCTGAACAAGCGGAGCAGGAGTTTGGTTCACATGGATGGTACTAAGTCAGACCTGCTCCCAGTGGATGAGGGACTCGGACAGGACCGCTCTCTGTCACAGATCCTGTTTAGAGCCTTTATGGACAAGATTTCTAGGCTCAGCCAGGGGCCGAGGGGCCCTGCTTAGACTTTGACTTGGACAAAGTTTACTGTCATCTTGTATACACAGAGAGAAATTAAATGAAACTTTGATACCAGCATTTTTTTGACAGTGAACGAGCAGCAGCTTAGCATGAACTTTCCCATTTATAAAGTGCAGTAGTGATCAAAACTTAAAAAGTGTAGGACAGGAGTAACTAATTAAAAATCAGCGGGGTCCGAATAAAGAAAATCATCAACCAGTAAAGGTCTGGAGACATTTTAAATTAAAATATGTTACTTTAAACATTGAATTTTTAAATAAAAAAAAATAGAACATTTTTCCATTTTAAAATCTAAAGGTTGTTTTTTTAAGTAGAGAACAACAATCGTTCAGTTTGGTTTATAGATAATTTCCTGATTCCCATATTTTCTCAAACCCCTGAACTGATGGTTTGTTATTTTCTTTCTTTTTTCTGTCTTAATGTTGGCAGTGGGCTTTAGGCTGCCCTGCAAGGCTTTAAACCTGGGTTTAACCGGAGACTAAGCCATTCTCAAGCACATATCAAGGAGCTCATTTTGAGCCTGGATCCAGATTTATTGTTGATTCTGTTCATGGTGGAGAATCCTGCTTCACAGCAGCAGGTTGAGCCAAACATCCTCTAAATGTGCAGGGTCATCTTTGAGCACGCCATTTCACTTTTCTTTCACCAGTTCACCGCAGTTCTTCCAGCAGTCCACACTTTCTCTGCTCTCTTTTTCTCATGGTCTTCTCCTTCTTTCCCGTCGCCCGGCTTGCCACAGGTTTGCCTGCTGTGTCTAAAAGTAGCAGCAGCAGCAACCCAGACTGACAGCTCATTGGCTCATTTGGATCACGTGCAGCCTGGAGCCGGACGCTCCCCAGGGCTTTACCGTATTAACAGGAGAAGAGGAGCAAGTTAAATTAGACACTGCTGTTGGACAACATGCAGTAATTTATAAATGTTTTAAATCAGGTTGGGTCCAGATTAGCCAGCAGTAGGGCCGTGATGTTGGAGATACATGATGCCGTGGCATTGATGTGGAAGGTTCACAGCAGTGAAAAATAAATAAATAGACTTGGTGCAAAATACAATAGAGACATGAAGTTGAATTCTATTTTGAAGATGCCAGTATGATGTTTACAGTGTGATACCATCTTGTTTTGTGACTTGCTTAGAGTTTGATGATGTTATGGGCTAAGGACACGGCTCTGCATTTTCACCAGACTCGCATTAAAAACATTTATTTTCTTCTCAGAACAATAAACTCTGCTTCTTTCTCCTGTCAGAACATTTTAAATTTCTGGAAAAACAACACATGATTGTAAAGCAGTAAAAAGCTAATTCTGCTCAGCATTAACACTTAGCAGAATTAGCTTTTTTTAGTTTTATAGTTACCAGAGATCAAGTGATACAGGTTTTTTTATGGCTGATGCTAATTTTTCAATTCTTGAACCTAATTTAGCTTTTTCTGATTATTTGCCGATGCTGATACAAAAAAAAACAAATATCGGCCAACAAATATCAGTCTACCTCTAGTTAGGCCTGTAAATGTTTAGGGAATTTCTCTACTAGATTTTCATGCCTTTTATTCTGAGCATGTAGCTCAAGCTCAGCCAGATTGGACAGACGATGTTTTTTTTAGCATCAACTGTTAGCTGATTCTGTGTCATTACTTTGACTAGGCCTTTCTAACACATCACCCTTTGATGTAAACCATCCTCTGGTTGGCTGAAGCATTCTCACAACATGATGCTGCCACTACCGTGCTACAATGTGGAAAGGATGTGTTGAAGCTCGTCATATGGAACAAAAATAATGTAGCTATATTTTAAAATTGAATGGTTATATATGAAAATTACCTCGGTATCTTTTTCTTTCCATAATGTAATTATAGGAAGACAGCAGTGAAGTGAAGCTTTGTCCCTCTTGTCCTTAAGGGACGGCCATGTTAATATAATCAATATAGTCTCACCTATATCTTTTGAAAAACTTTCATTACTTAAAGGAATCTCCACATTTACCACATCCCTAATTGCATTGGCTAATTTTTCAGCTTCGTTTAACTACTTTTGGAGCTATTAAAGCAAAGATTGGAAAATGCACACCACACTTTTCAGATTTTATGTTTTGTAAGCTTATCTACCCTACTTTGTGCAGGTTTGTCACAGAGGAGTCTAATAAAAAGCTGCAGATACTGATGTTTGTGGTTATATTTTGGCTTAAAGTAAAAGATTTTAAGGGTTTAGCTTTTTAGCAGTATGATTATGTCTAATGAATATGATATTTAACTGGTCAGTCGTTCATCTTGTCTGCAATGAGCTGTTTCCCTCAAGCTCCTACTGTCTGAAGTAACATTTCTGGAAATGTGGGTAAAATAAATGATGTATTTTCTAGTTAAACTCATTGGATTGTACTAGACGAGGTTTTTGTTGCTTTAAAAGCTGCTAACAGGGGAGCATATGGCGTGGCGACCGAGGTTTACGACCTTCCTGCCTGTTTCCCACCTGACACCGTCAGGTCAGCCTGGGTGTTTCCTGAGCAGTGAACCTGCAGACGAAAGGTGAACGGGCCTGTGTCCATGCCGTGCTCTTGGGGGCTGACATTCGGTCCCGTCTGCAGGAGCCAGCTGAACACAGCTCAGATACGGAGGGATGGAGGCGACAGTCGGTATGAAACGCATCGCAGCCGAAGCTCTAAGATCAACTGAAACCCATCCGGGTGCAAAGGGATGACGAGTGATGCCAGTGAGCTGAAATTAGGCCGAGCAGCAGCTGGATTAATCTGAGTTTGAAGGAAAACTCTAAAATGTCTCCTGCTCAAGATTTAAAACCTGATATCGCTCAGTTATTTCTGAATAATATTTCTCTATTATAAAGTGAAAATAATGTAAGACTCAATAGAAAAAAAGAGAAATTAAAGATATTAAATGAAAAAATATCATTTGAAAAAAATTGAAAAGGGTAAAAAAATAAATGTTTGAAAGAATAAATCTGAATAATTCAAAAGACGACTCTGTCAGGTAAATTCACCAAAGGCTGCATTCTTCGCCTGACTCTCCACTAACAACGAAATATCACAATTATAACCAAACTTCCTAATTGTCACAGGCGCCGCCATGTTGATCTGCCTGTTTCCACGAATCTCTAGTTATTCACTGGATTGCTGTTTGCCTGACAAAAGTGAAGCCACCGATCGCCATATTGGTACTCCCCCAAAATACCTACATGTGTAGCATTTGACTGCAAAAACAAGCAGTTTG